ACAAGAGTATCACTATGTCACCCATGGTAGAGCGCTATGGCATCACAGCTCACAGCAACCTCAAAATCTTGGGCTTAAGCGATTCTCTTGCCTTAGCCTCCTAGGTAGCTGGGACTACAGGCGCCCGCCCACAATGCCTAGCTATTTTCTTGTTGCAGTTGTAATTGTTGTTTAGTTGGCCTGGGCAGGGTTTAAACCTGCCAGCCTTGGTTCATGTGGCTGGTGCGGTAACCATTGTGCTATGGGCACCTAACCAACCTTTTATTTATTTATTTATTTTGAGACAAGAGTCTCACTAGCCCTGGGTAGAGTGCTGTGGCGTCACAGCTCATAGCAACCTCAAACTCGTGGACTTAAGCGATTCTCTTGCCTCAGCCTCCCAGATAGCTGAGACTACAGGTGCCTGCCCAAAGTGCCCAGCTATTCTTGTTGTAGTTGTCATTGTTGTTTGACAGGCCTGAGCTGGATTGGAACCCGGCAGCTCCCCTGTATGTGGCTGGTGCCCTAGCTGCTGAGCTATAGCACTGAATACCTACTTTTTTTTAAAAAGACTGGTTTTGATAGTCATTTTGTACTATTTGTAATTTATTTTTATTTAATGTCTACGTATTAATTTGACTTGTTACAGTAAGAGTGGCCCTTCTTACAGGGATTTACACAAAATGTGAAGAGCAACAGTAGTTTTTAATTGGAATAGGAATCCCATGTATTCATGGATATGAGAAGAAAAAAATGAGGGCATTTTTGGTTAATGTATAAATCCATGGTAATATGTATCTGTTAATTAAAATAGAAATGTTGTATCCTGATTATTTATGCATATTGGGAAAAAGAGCCACGTTAATTGTATATAATAGAATACCACATTGCTATCTATATGTACTGTTTTAGTGACCTAAAGCGTCAGGACTGTCCCACTAAATAAAACTTCAAATACTGAAAGGTGATACTTGTTGATCTGTAATGAAGGTTTTTCCTTTTCTTTATATTCTTAAAGGAATTATAAGTACTTACTTTTTACTGAATATACATATTCCATGTGCATATATTACTTAGTTAAAGAATAATGATGGATACTGAAAGGAAAGTAATTATTAAAAGAACTCACTAATGGCTTGGCGCCTGCAACACAGTGGTTACAGCACCAGCCACATATACTGAGATTGGTGGGTTCAAACCCAGTCCAGGCCCGCCAAGCAATAATGACAACTGTAACAACAACAACAAAATAGCCAGGTATTGTGGTGGACGCTTGTGGTCCCAGTTTCTTGGGAGGCTGAGGCAAGAGAATTGCTTGGGCCCAAGAGTTTGAGGTTGCTGTGAGCTTTGGTGCAACGGCACTCTACTGAGGGCGACATAATAAGGCTCTGTCTCAAAAAATAAAAAAGAGCAACTCACTGTTATACTACTATTTTCAGATGTTTTCCCAACTTTATTTATTTATTTATTTATTTTTTGAGACAGAGCCTCAAGCTGTCCCCCTGGGTAGAAAGCCATGGCATCACAGCTCACAGCAAGCTCCAGCTCCTGGGCTGAAGCGTGTCTCCTGCCTCAGCCTCCTGAGTAGCTGGGACTATAGGCGCCCGCCACAACGCCCAGCTATTTTTTGGTTGCAGCCGTCGTTGTTTGGCGGGCGTGGGCT